GCTCTATTTGCTGTATAAGACCAGTACCCCAAATGTGACACTTACCCACTGACTCAGTAGTCCTTTACCAACCATCCTTGGTTTTTTAAAATAAGGCCAATTCACTTCAAGTAATGTCATCAAATGTTACCCGCTGGTGTAGTGTAAACACTAGTGACGTCACTGAAGCGTCTGCTATATACCGGTAACTGGAACTAATGTCGGTGTCGAGTAAAATTTTTCCATTTACTTGAAATGGATTTACAGTGTACCGATTTATTTGTTTATTTATTTATTTATAATATATTGTAACGTATTAAACACACTGCTAGTATTTTCTTTCATTTGTACGGACGACCGGTGGTGGGAGTGTTCCCTCGTCTCCGTGGTGTGACTGTGTTCCGACTATTTATACAACAGGTGGTTCAACAGCAACCACCGTATTCTAATTGTGGTGTTTCATTAGGATTTAAGTGAAAAAGGTTACCGGTATGTTCTTACTACATACATTTATTACACAATCATATTTATATATTTATATATATATATATATATATATATATATATATATATATATGTGTGTATATATATATATATATATATATATATATATATATATATATATATATATATATATATATAATATATATATATATATATATATATATATATATATATATATATATATATATATATATATATATATATATATATATATATATATATATATATATATATATATATATATACTGTATATGTATATATATTTTTTAATATACTCATTCACACTATTTTATAATCGCAGTCATGTACTGAATATACTATGTACAAAAAATGAATGTTCAATGAATTATTTATGGTGCATTAGGGTACTGGCCACTTCAGACACAAAGACGGGCTATAAATAGCCTTGTTATCTACCCCTACATCTCACCCTGAGCCAGAGGGAAGCGTCTTGGTAAATAACATTTGTTTGCTTATTTTCCATTTACTTGAAATAGATTTACCGAATTATTTGTTTATTTATTTATTTATAATATACTGTAATATATTAAACACACTGTAATTATTTTCTTTAATTTATAAACTTGTTTTGCGACAAAGGAATGTTCTCCAGTAGTGTTTCATTAGGATTTGAGTGAAAAAATATTACGTACTTACTACATACATTTATTACACAAACATATTTATATATACGGTGTATATATATATATATATATATATATATATATATATATATATATATATATATATATATATATATATATATATATATATATATATATATATATATATATATATATATATATATATACACACACATACATACATACATACATACATACATACATACATACATACATACATACATGCATGCATACATACACACACATACATACATACATACATACATACATACTTTCTGCCTCATTTACACACAATTGCAGTTTCAATTGTTCCTCTTACTTTGACAACACAACATACATACAGTATATTATTTCTCAGTTTTGATCTTTTTTTTTAATTTTTGTATTTATTTATAGTTAGTTACTTAAAATAAGGCCAATTCACTTCAAGTAATGGCATCAAATGTTACCGGCTGGTGTAGTGTAAACACTAGTGACGTCACTTAAGCGTCTGTAATTAACCGTCGATAGTTTCAAGAATTAATGCACTCATTTACTGAATATTCTTTGTAAAAAAATAAAATTTAAATCAATTATTTATAGGAGATAAATATTATTATGAGTAAATATACCGATACCGGTATGCATTACTGACCACCTCCACGGCTAAAAATAGCCCAATCTCGCGGTCACTTTCCCTTTCTTGTCTCCTCACTGGCAAATGGGGGGGGCGTGGGGAGGGGTGTGTGATGATAGCTGTGTTTATTACAGGGTATGTTAGACAGGTTTATAATACATTTTTATTATTTTAATATACCGGTAATCTTAATTTGAATCCAGCTTGCCAAACGTAAGTTTCAGTATAAAATAATTACTGGTAGGACTTTGTGAGTGGCTTACGATGTTTCCATCACCACTCTTGACACAATATTTAAGATGTAAGAATTTTATATTTGTTGCTTAAGACGACCCCCTAACTTTGGGCAGATTTTTTTAATGTTCAAATTTCGTCTTATAAGCCGAGATATATGGTACCAACTGTAACTAGACCAACAAACAATTCTAGGGGTAACTTCAAAATAGGAAGGAAACAGGAAGATTTTTGCAATAAAGGGGGTAATAGAATAGAATAGTAAAATGCAGAAACGAAAAGTAGACACACCGTAATAGACCTCATCATATCCCCAACTTAAAAATAATTATATAAAATAAACCCCAATCGCCACACAAATTACATCACTTCATATTAATCCACTGTTCATAATACCTGTAGTAGTTACACGGAAAATTTTTATCTCAATAAAGAATAACTGTCATACAAAGGGAGATGGTCTGCTACTGAGCTGTTTAGTTTTTAGTGATAAATTCAATTTTGTATACAGTATAATTTGCTTGAGATAATTATGGAACAGGTTGATTACACTAGTGTATGTACTGTATTGTACTGTACTGTACTGAATTTAAGGCATCACCAAGCTTATGATACACTCCCTCCACATGGAAATTACTGTATCGTTACTTTACACCTACAGTAAATCTGTTGATGAAGTGTGTGGGTAAGACTCACCAACTGGCTCAAAATCTTCTTTAGAGGAGTCTTTTGAGTCTCCGCTGCCTCCCTCAATGCCACTGTGGTAATCACCGTAGGAAGAAGCGTATGGATCATAGTAGGTGCCATAATTTTGCCAGGCTGCATAGTTGTTCCAGTACTGTTCATAATACTGGCTGTAGTCACCTCCCATATGGTTCCTGTTGACACAAATTACAAAAATAGTAAAAAAAATATAAAAGACTTTTTTTTCTAAAAACCAGAATGCAACGCTTAGCTTTTAACCTAGGTATGTTAATGCCTAGCAATAACTCACCAGGCCAACATACAGGCAATTAAAACATCTAATAATTACTTAATAAGTAATATTACGAGGACACGTCGCTACCTGGCATTTAATTGCAATTGTCGAAACACTTGCCCTTCGCCCCCTATCGCACGCACTGCCACCTTCATCTCTTGCCTTAGAGCGAGCAGTAAATAAAAGTCAACTCTCGAGGGGTGGAGATGGTGGGTTATCAGCGTCGCATTCTGGGTCATATCACAAACACTGGTTTTTAGAAGAAAAAAAAAATCTTTTTTTTGTTCAACCCAGAATGGGACACTTAGCTTTGAATACCCGAGCAGGAGGTGGAGAAGGAGGTGACTTTGCATACAAGGATCCGCTAACTTAGGTCCAGATTATGATTATAAACCGTGTAGAATATTTCCAAAAGTAGGAACATTTACCGGAAGGTAAAATGTTAATTTACATATCTCAATTAGGATATTCACTTTATTATGGTGATGAAGAAGCTGTTCTTGAAAGTTTTTGAAGATCTCCAAAAGCCCATTTCCTTGATCTAACTGAGGCTCATATGCTGCAGAAAGGCCACAGACCCTGCGTATTTCCTAGTGTTATGTGCCAAAAATTTCTTGCCAGAGTCTGCTTGATTCACTAATTGAGATAAAGATTTTGTCATTTGACTAGAAGACAATTTCTTACCATCCCTGGATGAGAAAACATAGGGGCCTCGATTAGGAAATCTGGATAACCATTCCTGAAGATTTTTAACTGGGCACAATATATGAGGAACCCTTGTCTCATGCATTAGGCATTTTATCCTAATAGGTTGAGCTTGGAAATCTTCCCTTTCATTTTTTCTTAGGATCTCCGTAGGAAAAAGGGGTAACATCCTACTCGGAAAATACCAATAATGATAGATTATTGGAAATTGAAATCAGTTCACTTATTCTCATACCTGTTGCTATTGCTAGAAGGAAGGCTGTTTTCTATAGTAATTTATCTCTGTTCAGATTTATATTGTAATTAGGCCCCATAAGAAATTTAGTAACTTTTTTCAGAGACCAAGGTGGGATTCTCTTAGACCGAGGAGGTCTCTGAATGAAAAAGGGCGATTTTAGCATTTAAAAAATCCTTGGGTTCAAAGTAATATTAAAACCCCAAGCCAGAGGGTCAACCAATGCTGATTTATAAGATGCAATTGTCGATCCTTGAAGGCCTTTAACTCTGAACAGAAATTCTAACACAACTGTTTTCGACAATGATTCTGGAGTTGTTAACTTGATAAATTGTTGAAAAAGATTCCAAGCTTTCTCATATTGAATAGAAGTTTGAGGTCTATGACCTGCTAATACTTGGTTAGCTATATTGGGATTACCCAACAACCTATTTAAACTCCTTTTGAGAAACTCCAAGCGTGAAGTGCCAAGGATATCTCGAACTGATAATGTAGTACCTGGTATAGACATCCTTGTTGCAAATGTAGCGGATTCGGGCACCAGTCCAATAGATCCAGGCACCAAGGTTGTATGATCCAATATGGTGCAATTAAGAGGACCTTGCCATGGAAGGATATGAGTTTGTGAACCACTTTGGGCAATATTTTCCCAGGTGGGAAGAGATCAATTGAATTCCAAAGGTTCCAATCTAAGAGTAGAGCATTTCCTAAAAGATTCAACCTCTCCAGAGATGCATAAAGTTGCATCTTGTGATTTTTTAGGGAGGCAAAGAGATCTATCTTTGGAGTTCCAAACTTCTTCACTAGACTCTTGAACTTTGATACCTTTAGGGACCATTCTGTTTCTGTAGATACTGGCCGGAGAAAGGACAGTGCATCTGCCCAATTGTTTGTACTCCCGGTATATAAGTTGCTTTGAGGTAAAGTGTTTGTGTTACAAAAACACTGAAGATTTTTTCTGACAGTTGTAGAAAGGGCCAATACCTGGTTGAGCCTTGATGATTGAGACAAAACACTGCCGTTTTGATGTCCATGGCAAACAGGATCGCCATATTCTATAAATTTGGGTTTGCCGACAAAAAGAATAGGACCACTGCTAATTCTTTTACATTTATGTGTTTGTCCCAAAGGAAGTTGCTCCACTTCCCTTGACTGAATTCCCCTATTGAGGAATGGTATCCCCATCCTGTTTCGGACGCATCCGTACAAACGACCAGACCCGTTTGAGGCGGAACCCATTAGATTGTCCAACTTTGTCCACCATAACAGATGAATCTTATATGAATAGGGAGAGAAGAAGCAATATGTCTGCTTCTGTGAAGCAACTTCGAGCCCAGATGAGATACAGTAGTTGCTTTTTCCTTAACTCTCCCAATGGAACCACTATTGTGGCAAAATTCAACAGACCCAGAAGTTTTTCCAATCGTGCCAAGAAACCTTGTGCTTTACACAAAAGGCTTCTACTTGGTTTATCAAATCTGTTACTTTTGTTCCTGGTAAACTGACTGACTGCTGATTTGTATCTCAATGGAGACCTAACCAATCCAACTTTGACATGGTATTAAATTTGATTTGACCTGGTTTATCTTTAATCCCAGGTTTTGAAATAGTACTAGTGTACGTTGGGTAGCCCTTTGACAATCTTCGAAAGAGTTTCCCACTATCAGCCAATCATCTAGATAAGCAAAGATTTTTATGCCCTCCTTCGCAAAGATCTCTCTGGGGATGTTCGACAGTTTTGTAAAGACTTTTGGCGCAATCATCAGGCCAAATGGTATCACTGTAAATTGATAACTTACATCCCCCACTTTGAACACTAGAAACTTTCTGCACCTGGGGGCAACAGGAACGTGATAATAGGCATCTTCAAGATCCACTTTGAGATCCAAGCATTGGGCGGAAGTAGATGCCTCAGATGATCGTAAGTGAGCATCTTGAAATTTTTTTTTTTTTTGGTAATAAATTTGTTCAGAATGAAAGATCCAAAAATCCATCATAATTTGTTGCTGCCTTTCTTGGGGCCCGGGAATAGGCGAGACATGAAACATATCTCTGACTGTAACAGTTCTATGACACCTCTGTTTAATAGTTGAATTACAAATTCTGTTTTTGACCCTTTTTTGGAAACGTTAGGGGAGGGCGCCTCAACCAAATCCATGTGAGGCCCCCTTTGATTGTCTTGTAAACCTATATTGAAGAAGTCCATCTGTTTTCCCAACCTCCTAGACAACCCAGCTGTCTGGCTTCATTGGAAGGAAGTGGATGCTGATGTGGTGGAATAAGGTCTCCTTCCGCTTCTGAACAAACGGTAACCCCTATTACGTCTTTGATTATTTCCTCCTCTAAAGTTTTCTCTAGGTTGATAACTGAACCGAGTAGCTGGTCCTGTTCCCCTGGAAAACCTACCTCTTTCAGATTTCCAAAAGGTCTGAGAACTCCTGGGAACACTAATATTAATAGTTTGCTCAACAGCTGATCTATATTTAACCAATGATTGTTCATCAAACAAAGCAGGAGAAAGAGGGGAAGAACGTAGCAATAAATAAGCACTACCACTTGAAGCATTATTAGTGGCTTGCTTCCTTAGCTGGGCTTTAGTGTTAGGGCTTTCAACAACATATCAAAAATGAGTTGTACAGGGAATATGGGGTCCCTTGTAAAGCAGCAGCGAAACATTTGTCCACTTCTGAATTTTCTTCATAGTCCAGCACAAACTTAGTTAATAACTGATACATCATAATTGTGGGAATGAATGTTAAGTCTTTCAATACATTAGCCCAGACTTCGTCTATTTCAGAGATCATGTTTGGTCAAATATCAGGCCAAGAAAGTGTAGTATCGCCTACCAAAAACAATGAATGATGACCCACAGTTGCTTGTCCTTCCTGTCTCTTTGTAAGTGCTGAGAAATCAGGAAGTTTAGAAACATTTTCATAAAATACCTTGAATAAGGAATCCACAGATTGAGATGTAGTAGAAAACAAAGAAGACTTAGATCTTACCAATGTTATCCAAGACCTGTTGGGATCATCCTTACACTCAATGTTATCCATCAGCTGCGTGGCAGGTGACAGCAGCCTATTTCCACTCATAGCAACCAACACTCTTGCCCCAGGTGGAAGTGGTTGTCAAAATGTGGATAGGATGAAGTCAGTCTCAACAGGTTCTTCCTGCTCAAGAGACTGAATACTATGATTAGAACCAGCCTATCATCCTGATCCTCGAATCCACTGAAATCAGACCGAGTGTATAGAGGTTTTTGTAGACTTCCTACTGCCCCATTGTCTGGAAGTCCAATAACTTTTTTTTTTTTTTTTAGGAGAAGCAGATTTGTCTAAGTGGGGATTAAGTCTCTTACTTAACACCAATAAACCTAAACTTTCTGCCAACTTGGGATCTTTCCATTGTTTTACATTTAAAAATTTACTCTTCAAGGCCTTATTCCACCTATTTTTAATTTGGACCTGCAATAATTCTTTCTTATCACCTGTAGCTTGATGAAATTGAAAAATTTGATCATAACAAACTGAACAATCCATTAGTGAAAATAGGTTATTTGAGACACAGCTGCTATGAATTATGCAAGCCACATGAGGGTCTATCTTAGTAATCCAAGTGGCTCTACATTTTTTATAATTACATGTAGTATGGCCCCCTTGGGTCTTAGGTGAAACTACTACTACTGAATTCAATTTCTCTACTGACAGACAATTCCTTGTATGTAGTGCCTGAGCTAAACTTTCTAGTTCTTGTAGCTTATCACTCAATACTATCAATTCCTTGTATGTAGTGTATGAGCTGAACTTTCTAGTTCTTGTAGCTCATCACTCAATACTATCTCGGAGGACACCATGAGTCACATTATATCATTATAAAAATATAAGGGAGAAAACATTTTCTCCCAAACTTAATCAATATGACTCAAAATTATCATATTATTATTAAGTTAATTCATTGAG